CCACTTCTTCCTGATTCCCATCTAAAAGCGTAATCATCCAATGTCTCCTGTTCACTGTCTATCCTGCCTCAGAGGTCACTCCAATGTCACAACAGTCGGGATTGTTTTGCCCAACCTCACACAGACACACACAGATAAAGTGATGTGCTTGGCAGCTTAGAGTGAGGCAGAAAGATATGGAACGAGAGAGCTGGAGGCAGAGAAAGTCAGCGGGAGAGAAGGGTTGAGAACATAGATGAATAGGAGCATCAGAGAAGGCTAGAGGGAGAACATAAAAGTGGTGCAACTGTGTTATATAGTTGCGTACATGTATTGGGCCCCATTATAAAAGGCACGTGACAGTTTAATAGGACTCTAGCTGCCAAGATGAAAAAAGTGGAGTTCTGAACAGCAGGAAGTGTGCGCGCACACGCACAAACACACACCCATAGATTCTCTGTAGGCGTCACACATATGCTGAGTAAACTATTCAGAGGAGAACAAAGGTTCTCATTAAATTGGATCCTGTGACGCGTATTGATTTCTCTCCATAGAATTCACAACGCCTATTGTTCGGCGATCCTCACTTCAGATCTCTACTGTCATTGCTCTAGCAAACATCAATATGTAGCTCTGTGGTGTGTTACCAAAGGGTTCATTACATACTTGTAAGCAATTACTCTTTTAATGTAGCATAGAATCCCTCCTCCCTTCAAAATTACATTTTGATCAAAACCATCAAGCCAGCAGTCAGTGATACCATCTTTCTATAATGAAATGTATAACAGACTTGAAATCGTACATTGCAAGTTTGAAGCCAAGGTCAAGTCCATACAGACAAGATAAAGACAATGGTTCTGTGCGGTAACTTAAGGTCTACAACTGTAACTGAATGGCTACAATTTTAAAATGCTATTCCAATTACACAATAAGGTGTTAAAGCTCATTTCTCACCCGTAACCAAAAATATTATGACTTTCTGACAAATAACAACGCACTCCCCAAAATGTATATTTTCACATTTGTGTTAGCCCTGCAGCCATTGTTAAAATCAGTCTGTACGGTCCTAAAATATGGGAGACCGATTATGGTGTGAAGAACAGTTGGTGACACGGAAATACAATTTGCAATCTTCTCTGTGGTGTTTGGTGGCATGGAAGGGGAGGGGGTCTAATTGGACACTAGCCTGCGTCTGGTAGGCCTGTCACAGCCCAGAGGGTTTTTTAAGTGTGTGTGTGTGTGGTGTGTGTGTGTGTGTGTGTGTGTGTGTGTGTGTGCTGTGTGTGTGTGTGTGTGTGTGTGTGTGTGTGTGTGTGTGTGTGTGTGTGTGTGTGTGTGTGTGTGTGTGTGTGTGTGTGTGTGTGTGTGTGTGTGTGTGTGTGTGTGTGTGTGTGTGTGTGTGTGTGTGTGTGTGTGTGTGTGTGTGCATGAGAGACAGAAAGAGAGAAAGCGAGCAACAGAAAGAGCATGAGAACAAACAGAGAGCTCCATTCAGGTCTAATCCACAGACACATCATTCAGTCTGACATGACGATACATCTCTGTGACCAGAGTATTCATATAGGGCCTCAGTCACAGATGCATCATTCACACCCACACACAGACACATAAACACACTTCTGCTGAGTCCTGCCCAGGCATCTATATCACGATGGAGAATCACTCTAAGATCTCAGTTCATATTCATTCAGTTTACCTCCCTTGACTTGAACACATTGCAAAGATTTCCTATGGAGCTTGTTCTTGTAAGTCCACCACCTCCAACATGTAATGAATGTCTTAACTGCCAAGGTTAGAGTGAGAGTTTATCCATTAGCAAGCCATAATATTGACAGGGCCGTGCTCTCCCGGTCCAAACTTCCGCCTTGTAGCCGTAACATTGGCCGACAGACAGGGGGTAGTATGTCAATGTGAGGTGCTTACAGGCCGATAAAGGCTGCTGATCCAATTCCTATAGGCAGGCTTGATGGACAGCACACGGGCAGAGAGGGCAGGGGAGAATCGTAAGTGAGAGAGGGAGATTGAATAGTGCCAAGTGCCCCTACAGCTTTTAAGAGTTTTGAACTCAGATGGAATTTGGTGAAAGGACAAGGAAGCAAGATGAGATAGGATTATCCAACTGCTCAGGGACTAAATGTTTTCCCCTTGAGACCTTGAGCAGCAGAACACAGCACAAACATATTTCAAAAGGACTGACACTGTAGAATGCAACGTTAAGGAATGTGTACACATCAACATTGAAAGCAGACTCTCACATATCAGTCTCGCTGCCCAGCTAACCACAGTCAGGTTGACCCAGACAAGCAAGAAAACTTCTCACTGCAGTGAAAACAATTTGCCCTGCGAGGGACCTACTGTAGTTCACCTCACAATTGCAAGCCACACACAGCTAAGCAGCAGCTTAGAACTTACCCATCAACCAACAGTATCTAATGTTTTGCTGTCAAGTTTGTTTTCAGCTGTCTGTCAAATAACCGTCAGAGTGACTTGAGTGCCAATGCAGATGATCTCAACTAAGAATGATATCCAATCGTTTCAATGTGTGTCCCTACCACCCAGAAACACATAAACATATGATAATGCAATACAAAAAACGATGCAAAAGAACATCTGCGTTAAGATGATTTTATTATTTCCCAAGAAACAACATGTCTTTTGATTTATTTTCCAATATACACTAAATCTAAATTGATGTCAAAGAACACCATGTATATGAAATCAATATCCACTATACTGGCCTGTGAAGCCACACTGCCCCTCATGGTTTTTCCAGGATATAGCCTCATCCCTTAAGGCATGCTCTGAGTGTGCACTAAACACAAGTATGAAATTGGGATAATAAAACATAAACAACACAGTATCATCCCAGTAGTTGTAGTACATCTGGGAAACAACAATAAGACAATGGTGTACATTAAGAATAGATTTAAAGCAAAGAGCGTTACGAGGGCAACACTGAATTGATGCATTGAGTCTGGAGTGCAGGTGGGTAGGGGGAGGAACAAACCGGCAGAGGGGCTCAGAGTACGCAGTGTGACTGCTGTACTGGGAATCTGCATTTTGCATATAGGCTCGAGCAGCTGTTTTCTGTGCATGAGGTGCAAGAGAGGGTGGGAGGAAGGGAGACGCAAGAGAGAGACAAAGTAAGTCCCTGACTCCAAAAATGGCATTTGATGTGGTCTACATCCCACTTCCCTGGTTGAAACTGCAGTGTGTGCTGAAGAGCCTGCACTGTGACTTCCCTTGCTTAAATGTCTAGAAATCAGCTCAAACTCCAACAAACATTCCCATTATCAAGTATCAATGACCCTGATTTCAGTAAAGGACAGATACGCTGTGCCAAAGGGGATGATCAGCCTTCAATGCACAAATACAACGCAGGCAAAAACCAAATTCCTACAAATAAATAAGAAACTGATTCCAGAACAAATGCATTGTATTCAGACAGTGTTGACCGTCAGACTCTTAAACATTCAGCACTAAAGAAGAATGACTCATCATTGCTCATCATCAGTCCATTGGCTTACTCTGTGGTATGACTCAAAAAGAGGGAATACAGCAGAACATTCCAATCAAGAAAAAAGTGATACATGTGAGTGCCGTCAATTCAAATACATCCAAATTGCTTAAGAAATTCAATGTCACAACTTTTTTTTTACGATAATGAAGTACAGAGACTCACACACAAGGTTTCAGAGCAACATCCATTCATATCATCAATCTGTAAAAGATAGTTCAAACAGTAAATCACACACAGCATGTGACCACAATGGATGCTACAGTAACATCAGGCTAATACAGTCCACTGACTTGAGATAAAGTTGCATTGAACTCAGTAGCTTGCCTTATTGCATCCCACAGAGATTGAGTCCCTGGAGATATTCAAATCAAATGTTTTCTGTTAACTTGAGGGTTCCTCGAGTTAACATTTCCCCGGAGCATTCCGTCTGAGACAAATTGGTCAAGTTCAGCAGCTTTGAGAATAGACTGCGTATATCCCTGTGATCATGAAAGCCACACAGGGTAAATGTGCCTGCTTAAGGTCATTTTGCTTCACACACAGATGCGTTTTCTATTAACGAAACACAGACAGGTAGTACTATCAAATTAAAAATAATGTATGTGCCGCCATAGAGATTTCTAAACATATAGATCACTGGCTACAATGAGATGTCCAAAAAGCAGACATAGGTGAACAAACCCATTTAGACCCATTTCTAAACCCATTTAGAAAACGCTACTGTGAACAGACTACCATGCTTGAGTAGTTTCAGGTTACAAAAAACATCCCATCAGCGTGGATCCCTAAAGATTCAGGATATCATCCAACACGGCATGGAACTTTTCAAAAAACAAAACATACTGTGTTCAATCGAAATGTTCACAATGCTTTACCTGTTATATTTGACTATGGCACGTAATTGACTAATCTTCGTGAAAAAAAGTACTACAATATCATATCGGCTCGTGTAAATGTCATCATGTCCAAGATTTAAAACCGAGGTGTCACTAAAATCGCAGTCCATGAGTCCACACGCCACTATATGCAAGTCCTACGCACTGGGTTCTTCCCCTAAGCCACTGCGTAAATCCGACACGGAATCCCCGACACATATTTAAGTGTTAACCTTCAGAGTTAAGGAACAAGTACAATTTGGGCATGCTGCTCTTTATGGCTTACAGTGGATGAAGGGCATAAAGAAACCCGAAAACGGAGGGAATCCAGTCGACAAAGGGTCCCAAGTTAAGAGACATAGTAGCCTATGTCGTTAAGATGTTCAGTAATTTCCCCCGGGGCTAGTAGTACGATCCGAATGGACAGGTTCCGTATGAAACCCGCCCGATTGCCGGAGTGCGCAGAGCGGGCATGGTGCAGCCAGAGCAGGTGCAGCACGCCTCCCTGGTCACCTGGCTGGTGCAGTGGCAACCTCACTCCCAGAACCTGGCTATAATGGCAATAAAGCAGAAAACAAATAGTCCTGGCTGTACAAACTAACGCCGTGACAATCCTCTTTTCTTACCTGTAATCAATGCAGATATCACTTCACAGCCGCAGCGACACTGCGGATAAGAGGCACGTCCAGAGCAATCCCCAACTCCTTTTACTCCCCCCAAAAAAAGAGAAATGCTTAAAATAACGTTATATCCTGATCAAACGTCTTGTCCACTTTAAAATCCCCGGTAGAGGTGTAGTTAGAGGGCGATTCCTGCACAGGAAAAAATAAATTGCAGCAGACTTCCAGGAGCATCGCCGATCAGCAGGACCTTACTACGCCGCTCTGAGCGCTCTGAGACCCGGGAGCTCCACTTCCCATTCCCCGGCGAGGATACACTTTGTATGCCGTTGGAAAAGCCGCTGCGCCGTATGGGATACCGCAGGAGGCTGTTCTTGTGTGCGTGTGTGTGCGTGCATGTGTGTGCGTGCACAGAGCGGGTGTCTATCGATGTGACTCGGTGCGGTGCTCCTGCTCAACTGATGTGCTGAGGGTGCTGCAGCGGAGTGCGAATGGGAAGGAGGGAGTGCGGGAAGGACGGAGAGAGAGAGAGGGGCTGCCTCGGAGTTTGCAGCCTCGCCGCGGATCTTCAGGCTCGGGAGGGACCGAGTACTAGATGGCGCTTTGCCCGTTGCAAAAGGCGACTGTTTTCAACATGGTTCCTGCGTCGTCTGCAGTGACAGGGGGGCTGTGTTTGGGTTACATTTGTAAGTCCTTGGCAACTACCCTAAAGAGGCTTTTGCGCATTAATGAGCACGATACAAAACAACAAACTATGTATTACCATCATGTTTATGATCTAATTTCCTAGGCAATTACAGCAAAACTGAGACAATTCCACTGTGCAGTTTCATGTGAGTTTTAGTGTAAGCACCTTTAAACAACTTTTAAGAAGTTCATTTTCAAGTTTACCAGCTCCACCCTTTGGTGGATATTATTCACCCGGAAAAAAAAATATGACAGATATGAGCTTAAATGAAGCTTATGCTTTGTTAAAATAGAGGTTTATGTAATGCATTCATCCCGTTGAGAATGGGATTTGGCAAAGCCAAAGGGGAATTTATACGCTACAATACCGGGGTGAAATGATCAGATCATCGGATTTGAATATCTAATCGCAGGATCATTTAAAGATGGAGATTTGGCAACACTGAACATAATTACGACACTTGCATAGTTGTAGGGGATTAGAATCTGCATGTTTCTTCCTTGATGATCTTTTAACATGCTCCAGGAGTGCATCCTCCCCCCACACATTTGAAGCAATTAATATTCTAAAAGTCCTAATTATGTAATCGTGTCTTCTTCAATGATATAAGTAGCGTGGGGGGTACGGGAATAATACCTGTTTCATAAAATAGTCTACCAAGCCTACTTCTACTCTTCATATGAAGAAAATTAAAAGCAAATCCATCCCCATTGACTTAATATTGCGCACAATCGTGAAGCCATGTTGCGGTCTATTTCAGCCCTTATCCATCTCAAAACATAGGCCAACTTTCAAACGTTCTTACAAAAAGCAATTAAATCAGTCACTGACAGGATGAAAGGTTTGGGGATTTTGTAATGTGCTCAATGAAAACAAGTGACGAGAGAAAAACATGTGCATGCGATTGCAACCCCTGGCAATTTATTATCTATGTCTCAGAGAAGTAGTGTGCGCTCGGAGGGCGGTCTATTGTATCGGGGGTATCCGTGCCTGCTGCAGCATCCTCTCTGCCTCCCTCCCTTCCCCTCCCTTTCTCCCTCCCTGGTTCTTTGCTTTGAAACACTGCATCAGAGCCCCACCTACAGGCCAATGGAACCCTACAGCCCGACACTGACACATACAAATCCATACAAAGTGCCATAATGGCCGTTCATGGCCACAATTCATAGTCATTTTTTCTAGAATTTAAACATAGGGTTTAATACGCACAATGACAACTGTACAACACCTGCAATTTTACAGTACAAGTGATACACAAAAATCCCGGAAACGTAAAGCCACAAGTGATTAAATGAGTTGCTGCATCATAAAGCATGCATGCTAGTAAAACAAGCATCAAATGAATGATTACAGACTATAGAGACCTGTAACGTCAAAAATAAACAGTAAGCGGTCTAGCAAAAATAAATTAGCCTACATCATTTTATGGGCTATGTACTTTGTAGGGTTCATGTCTCTTAGGAGGGGAAGAAGCACCACAAGTCGTAAGTGGACGTTTCAACATGTAGCTTTATGCTAGCATTTTAAAGGCGAAAAATGAACAGCAAAAAAGCTAAGACGGGCATTAATATAGTAATTACTAGTGTTTGCAAACTATCCGTTAACCAAATGGGGCTGGAATAACTGTGAAAGAAGCCAAAAACCAGCACTAGTAACATTTTAAAAACGTTACTTACCTCAAATGGTTTTCCCAAACTCTCTTCCAAAAACGAAAACTCCGGCGTTTATATGCATTTTAAGCACTTAAGTAAACGTTAGTTCAGGCGTTACACTTTAACTGTTAAAGTTTAAACGTTAACGTTTGAGCAACTCTACTGTAAAAAAAATAAAAAAAGGAACGTTGTACTTATTAACGCCAGTTTGGAGCCACGTGACTGTGATCACGAGCACCTGTTTTTTCTTGCTTCACTCATTAGAAGCCCACTACATGAGCTAGGCTACTGCAAAAATAAACGTCACATAAAGCTTCCTTAAAGTTGTGATGGCTTAGCTTAAGCATTACATCAAATTAAAATATTAAGTCTTGTATATATTTGTATACAAATTGCAATCAAATTCAGCCTGATATCTTTGAAAGTTCAGAGAGCTGGACTGGAATTTAAAAAAAGATGGCTTTTGGAAAACAAGTAAACACAAACAAAGTTAAATGTCAAAAGTCACTAAGACTGACCCCTTAAATCAAATCACAATAAATTAACAATAGTGTGTTGGGTTTGGTTGCCATTTTCCCAAATCGTGATCTGACAGGCCATTTATTTCAGTATGTGTCAGATCTCTGTTCATTTATTATACTTTAGTCCTTGTGACAGACACCGGGGAGGTCTCTTGGAGTCATTTGAAGGGTGAAAATGCATTGATATCAGCAGACCTATTGGCTTCATTTAATTATCCAACCCAAGTGCAGAGCTAAATCAACAGTCTGTGGATCTCAATATCAGATAGCTTTCAAAGCACAGCAAATCAATAGTGCTGCAATCTACAGTGACAATAGTAATTCTATGAAGGGTCAGGATCACATGACCTTATGAAATTAATGTTAAGGTGACAGGTCCATGTATAGGTCAAACATGCTTGGACCAACTGATTATAGGTCTGAATAATTATTTTTTATCATAGGAGGTCCATCCTATCTGTGTGTAGCATGAGCCCACATTAATTCAAGGACGAACAGGTTTGTGTTGAGAGCTTGATAACACACAAGATTTGTTTTAATTTATAGTACACTTGGCGAAAAAATATATCGACTACATTATCAGAACATTTACATGCGTGTCAGGCTTGGCATTAAAGATAACTATTGTAATGTCCATTGTTCTCTCTGACATTTTACGCAGCAGATGTAATACCCACGTTGTATTGGAATTGTAAATGGTAAAATGTCAATTTTTCAGATCATTTTCAAGACTTAGTCCACATTATCTTAGAAGTTGAGATCAGAGATAATTCATTATTAAGGAAACCTCACCTGGCAAAACATTATGACCACAATATCCATTAGTAGCTGTTTCGGAGCTTTCATTGGTATCTCAAGATCTTCTTCAGCGGATGAGGTCACCATTTGTGGAATTGTACATGTTTTTTTAAACATTGTATCCAAGTTATCCTAAACGTTTAAATGAGAAGTAAATTATTGTAGTTATTCCTAATGTTTGGGGAATATTTTATGGACAAAATTAAAGCCTTGTTTTAGACCTATTGTGCATTAAGCATAGACTTAGATAGATTTTTGGTTAGTCATTTTAGAGCCAGCTAATTATTTTTGACCAAAATAACTTAGCTGTCCATTGTTATCGTAATTGTCCATTATCAGTCATTTTTGGACACCCTGCTGCCAATCAGAAATTGGGATTCACCCAGATCATGGTATAATTGGTTTAATCTAATTACAGTCTCTTGGTTACACTGAATTATAGTTATAGTTCCAAATTGAAACAGGACCTGCCTAGGTAATGTATACAAGGTGTTAAAGTTTACATTTTCAAGTTGTTATATTGAGCGTTCAGTTAATATAGTTCTGCTTTGTGAAAGCTTGCGTCTGCAAGGGCAGAGGAGTAACAGAAGATGCTCGACCGGTGCTCGGCTCTTTATTCAAATGCACTGACCAATCTGACTTTCCCATTTGTCTTGCAAATGAGACAATGACTTATGGAGGCACCATGAATAGCTTTGATGAAGCCTCTTTTTTAATGCAGTCAAGTGGGTTGTAGGGAGGTCCGCGTGCGTGTGTGTCTGTGTGAACCCTGTTGCCAGCTGGCAGTGTTATTTTAGCAGCTCTCCTCATCTTGCAGACAAATGTGTGTGGTTGTCCATGTGTGCATGTGTGTGGCGTCACATAAGCCTGTATTGCGTCCCTGTGTCCTTTTGAATTAACTCAGTGAACCCCAGCTGTATATTATGGTTTAGCTTAAGCCTGTTGGGATGCAGAGATCACCCTGCAGAGGTGCACTGCTCCCGGGGGTCTTCCCCTTTCCCCTACGAGCCCCAACAAACACACTGTATCAGCCACATAATGACATTAATCACGCATCTGTCACTGTATATCCCTCAATGCGGAAGGCTGGTAAATCACAGGGCATGTATATACCTGCTTTATGTTCAATTTACAAGTCATTTCTATCCTAGAGATGATAATATTTATGAGGTGTCATGCGGAATTTAGTGTGTCCATCTTCATAAAAGTATATGCTCATTCCCTTCACTCTCTCAATGGCTTGATTCCTCCTGGTTTAAATCAAACTGAAACACTGGATATGTCAGCCTCATCCATGATATCTCATTTTCGTAGAAAATCTATTAGCGTGTCGCTGAACTAATGAAGTTTTATGTGCTGTATGGACGCAATGAATGACACTCTGATAACCCATTGATTTGGATTGTAAATAGGTTTTCAATTTTCTGTCTGTTTTGTGAGCTACTAGATAATTAATTATATTGAAGCTGACATTTCTGTATATCTCGTGTGTGTGTGCAGGGGCGGGTGCGTGGGGGTGGATGGACGGGTGAGTTGAATATGTCACTCAGTCATATAATTAGTTAGTTTGCATATTGATGACTTACTGCTTTTTGTGTAAATGTGTGTTTCAGTTTTTATTCCATCATCTCGTGTGTGTTTATTCATCCATGTATCATCTCCATCAGCCTCCCCGTCAGGCTAGCAGCTGCCTGCCTGCCTGTCTGTCTGCCTGTCTGTCTGTCTGTCTGTCTGTCTGTCTGTCTGTCTGTCTGTCTGTCTGTCTGTCTGTCTGTCTGTCTGTCTGTCTGTCTGTCTGTCTGTCTGTCTGTCTGTCTGTCTGTCTGTCTGTCTACATAGGTGTGTGTGTGTGTGTGTGTGTGTGTGT